TAATCATCAACGACTGCATGGCAGAGCACTCTTCAATACCAAAACGCAGCTCAGATCCACACTTCACCGCACCGAAGCTGCAATACTTCAAAGTAGACAAGAACCCTGTCTTCGGTCTACGGATCCCTGGGTTTCTGCTCAACCTTGTCAAATCTTCAAACCCAGCAGTTCAACAATACAATGAAGCCACTGAGAGAACCGTCCCTATGGTTTAGCTAAACCCAGCTGGACCTACCCCGGGGACGAAGCCGAGTGTAGGTAAGGGTCCTAAGAGAGCCTCAAAGCCACAGAAACCAGTGGCCGGTTCACCCAATGAAGGAAAGTCTGACGACTCTCTAGAGACGAGTCAGGCGGCTGAGGGCACCAAAACACCCGCTGAGGAAACTGCCAATGAATCGTCAAGTGATGCCCAAACAAACACTGACGATGAGGCATCCGAGAGCGTGGGCACGTATAACGAGGAATCTGGCTCGGATAATGATGATGACGACAATGACAGTGAAGACGTTGAGCACACATATGCTCTGATCAGAAAAGGAAAGCTGCCTGTTGAATCTCCACAGAAGAAAAGGATCACTGCTGAAGATGCAGCACCGATAATAGCAGGCAGACCCCAAGTCTTCACCATCAAGGAGATAGCTAAACCGAGAGCCGATCCCAGCGAGACAAACGGCTCCAAGGATGACTACGACGAAGCAGCTCATTCTATAAAGAATTCCAAAGACGTCGTCATCCGGGAGAAAAGGGCCAAGGTTAAGAATGACAAGGATGCTAAGCAAAGCCCCAGCCCCGAGTCAGAAAGAGCCTGATTGATAAGGCAGACGAGCACATGTTCGCTGGCTGCGATACCTTTATCCAGATAAGCCGAGCTGAATCCTTAAGTACATGAGCCGATCTTTTCGGTTCCCGGGTAGAAGTCGCAGCATCTGGCTCAACTGCGCAAGCACAGCCCTCACCCAGCCACTCAATAGCCTCTCAACAGGTTATTGTTTCAAAAGAACGGGACTCCACTCCCTCACTGGTTCCTTCCGAATCAGTTGAGCGTACAATTGACCTATCGCCCGAGGTCAAAACCCCTTCTTCAAGCACATTGAGTCTAGGTGTCACATTCCCTACATTTTCTTCCTTTTCTAGGACACCTACACTATTCACTGCACATACAGGTGCACACACCCTGAAAGCAACAACCAGAGCGCAAGCTATGACGATTGGAAGCCCTGCTACGCCCACAATGATTCCATCATTGCACGCACGCCACACATCAGCAATCTTCACTGATGTTGTGACAACAGTTACAACCCCCGTAACTGGTCACCCAACCTTTGAAGACGTAAACGTTCTAATAAATCGCTTCCTAGATTCCACCATTAAGCCATGGGTGCAAGATGCAATGACCGCTCTAGCACAGGAATTTAGGACCACCCGAGCGGTTCGGTCTGAACAACCCCCACCCCAACCTTCACCCGAACCTTTCATTTCCCATACACAACCAGTATCCTCCACCCCTCTATCCCACCAATCCATCAACCAAATACCCATCCCTTCACATTCTCGGGGAACCCAGGATACAGAACTAGTATTCTCCCCACGCCCGACCACACCATCCATCGATCTCTCCTCACTATCCTTCGACACACTTGCATCGGCATTGCTGGACAACCTTCTAAACATCCCCGAAGCCAAACTTACCCTTCACCAGCAAGCTATACTCGAAGCCCTCCTTTCTTCCCTCGAAACCAAGAGCAAGCGCAAGGAGAGTCCTCGTGGTCGCAAACGTTCCCATGAGGACCCCGATGATTCGGATCCTCATGAGGGGGAGAACAAGCGACCTCGATCACTTGATCAAACTGCTTTACCAAGCCAAACTCCACAGCCCATTCAACCCGAAACCTCTACAAACCAACAGCCACCACCCACAGCCAAAATATCTAGCCTGGTCGAGCTAGACGTAACATCCCGAGGCGTATCTCCCAGAGATACCAACCGAGGAGGGGATGGAAGTCCTGATGATGCTACCACTGGTACATCCGTTACATCAGGCCATCAGTTAGAACCTAGTTCTAAACTGATGTCAACGGGCAATCCAAGTGAACCTGGTCGTGCTACCCAAGAACAATCACCGCTCCAACAACAGCAAAGAGTTCCATACATTTCCCCAGGCAAGGACATCCACGATGCACTGGAGGAGGCGGTGATATATGATAAATGGCCAAGACAATGGACAAAATGGGATGATCTTCGCAATGAGGCTGAGATAGATGACATGCAGAGAAATTGGTAGCTACGAGAGCTAATCAACAAATGTACTGAAGATATCATCAGGCTCGAGGACGATGAACGAAAGGAAGGGGAGAACTACAAGGAATCCCAGAAAACTCTTGAATCCGTCGTGAGACAATCAGCGGGAAGACTTCCCAAGACAGAGAAACCTTGGGACTACGTTCGAATCAAAGCCCCCTTCCAAGAGGAAATCAGAGAGCATATTTGGCGGAGACCAGACAAAGTCAAACCGTTGAATGAACTGAAGCTAAGAGGCCTTACCCATCTAAAAGGAAAGCAGGCTGGAGGTCATCTGCATATGCTATTACAAAGGTCAACCGGTACTCAGAGAGAGCTGATGGAACAAGACTTGAAGTCCAATATTCTCCCGATTCATCAAATTCTACAAGTGAAGGCCGAGGATTATCACGGAGTGACATTCTATACATACAGGCTTCAACGCACTGATGGGAGTGAATTTACTTGCCAAGAGAATGATTTCATCATGCTTAAACCCGACGACATCTATCAAAAATGTTCATGGCCTATCGATACCTTCCAGTCAGGCAGAGCAAAACATACAGCGAAGGTCTTGCAGCAATCAAGAGATTCATGCTCAGACAGATCAGAGTACATTCTTCACACGACCTACAGATGGCTATTGAGTGCAACTTGACAAAGACAAATCTGACAAAGCCAAGACTGTATGGTCCAGAACTCGAAGACTTCCCAGCTTACCACATCTTCTTCACACCGCCATAAGTCACTTATCTGAACCACAAGAACGAAAAACGTCTGATGGTAGTCAATGAAATTGAGAAATACTGTGACGGAACGCTGAAGATAATCAAAGAACAGCTTCTAAAGATGAAGACACAGCTAGAGGAAAATCATCAGGAGGCATCGTCATATGTTCAAAAGGAACACTCTACAGTGGATACAATTTTAAAGGCCATTGACGATCGGCTAGAAAAGAGAAATATGCTGAGGCAATACGAGCATGCATTGAATATGAGGAAACACTACTTCAAGTCACAGAAGCAATAACAAAGTGACACTTGATCACAAAGGGGGAGATTGTTGGAGATATTTTAATTGTGAATCAAGTTTGTCATAGATTAGCTTTATTATTATTCCTTGTATTTAATTAGTTCATGTATTAGACAGAATTTGGGCCAAGTGTTAGGCCCATATAACCAGGCTAAAAGTCTTTCACGCCTAACCTAAACCTCGCCTATAAAAAGGGAGCCGAGGGTTTAGGATTAGGTTAACGTCGTACTTATTCACTATAGCCTTACGCGCATATCTTTCTGTGTACGAGTTCACGGTCTATAAAAGAGGGTTTTACATTGATTCAATCTGTGTTCATCCTTACGTTTAATCTTCTTTGTTAGATTGTTATTCATTGCTGTTACAGAAACAGGGACTATCAGAGTGAGAGAATTTTCTCTCTCATACGTAACCTTTTTAGGTATAAGATAAACGGACTAAAATATTCTCCCATAAGTAATGTTGTTAGGTATAACGCAAAATAAGCGTACTAATAATTGAGCGGGAGAACTCTTTCTCTCATATGTAGTGCTTTTAGATATAAAATAATAAGCGGAATAATAATTGAGCGGAGTAATGTTAATTTATGTCATATGTAGAGTACTTTTAGGTACTACCTCCGTCCCAAAATTAACTTCCCATTCGGATTACGATGCTTGACCGACGATAAAGCAACTCAATCCCTGTTCATACTCAGATTACTTTTAGTAAATAAAATTTACATATTCAGAAACTACATTAAAACCGCTACAAAGCCTGATCAAGAAAATTTAAATTTGATAAAAAATTGATATATAAAATAAAAGATTAGGAGTGATTCAAGTTGACCAATGAATAGTGACTGTGAAGTTGTTTTTGAGACGGAGAGAGTATAAGATAAGCATACTAAAAAGAAATTACCCAAAATAGGAGTAAATGAGGTTTGAAATTCCAAAATAGGACTACTATATTTTTCTTCCCGAAATAGGAATTGTTACTACCATGTATGAAAAATACTGGCATAATTGAAAAATACTGTCATTAATTATAATTAATATTGTCATGTTAAATGCACTGTACTGCAACTATTTGGCAGACACGCCTACAAGATGACAGTAAATACTGCCATGTTAGTCTTATTTCGGGAATAAAAACATAGTAGTCCAATTTTGGTATTCCAAACTCCATTTACTCCTATTTTGGAAAATCTCCCTACTAAAAAGTAAGAGAGAATTTTCTCTGATATGTATAAAATAAGCGGATTAATAATTGAGCGGAAATATGTTCTCTCTCATGTATAGTGCTTTTATGTATAAGAAAATAATTAATTGGAATAATTTTCTCCCCCATATGTAATGTTTTTAAGTATAAGATAAGATAAACGGACTAATAACTGAACGGGAGAATTTTTTCTCTCATATGTAGACCTTTTTTGTATAAGCGAATACTAATTTAGCGAGTGAATTTTTTCTCTCATATATAATACTTTTAGGTATAAGATTTTCTCTCTCATATCAGTTGTATGTAGTGCTTTTAGGTATTACATAAGCGTGTTAATAGTAAGTGTCACGCCCCAGACCGAATCTAGGCGCGTGTACAATAGCCGTATGACCAAGTAACGTCACTCGCAAGTCGACTTGTCTTAATCATACAAGGCGTCCATGAACATAATATATCCATACTCAGTAGTAAACATACACAACAACATCACGGTTTAGATTAAATTGAATAGCGTAAATATTCAATAATCAATCGTGGGCCACACATGGCCAAAACGTAGGTTCGCACGCCAAAACAATGTATTAATACAAAAGTATTCATGAGCATAGTTTATCGTTTGAAATAGTAGAGGGAGCACGAACCACGTCTTCCTATGGATTCTCTTCACCCGTGCAAAGATGTATATGACAAGCCTTAACTTCAACCTGAAATGGTGCCCCCCCCCCCCCCCCCCCCGAAGGGGTCAGTACAAGTACCGAGCGAGTAGCAGGCTAAATATAGAATAACTAGTGTTTCAAGTATAAGACCCAAACATAGGGTGATACTTATATAAATAGTCTTTTCCCCCAAGTTAAGAAATACTTAATAGTACATATACACTTGGAAAAATACCCGATCCGTAGATCGCCGTTTTATTTGGGAAAATATTAATAGTCAATATTCTTAACTAAGAACCCCAACCCACCCATATGTCTATGAGTGTATAGGACTCCTCCTTGTCCATATTCATATACCATAACCTATGAGTTTTGAGGATCATAATCCTTGGGTACTCCATCAATTTATAATCCGAGTGTTAAGGACTTTTCATCCTAGGGTCATCCACCAATATATAATCCGAGTGTTAAGGACTTTAGGTCCTAGGGTCCTCCACCAAAATATAATCCGAATGTTAAGGACTATAAGTCCTAGGGTCCTCCACCAAAATATAATCCGAGTGTTAAGGACTTTAAGTCCTACGGTCCTCCACCAAAATATGAGTGTTAAGGACTTTTAAGTCCTAGGGTCCTCCACCAAAATATGAGTGTTAAGGACTTTTAAGTCCTAGGGTCCTCCACAAAAATATAATCCTATGATCAACCTCCTATCAACCTAGATAGGGTCTATATCATATTTATTCATTCATAGCTAAATCAATACACAAAGCTTATGGATCACAATCCATGCAAACCATGCATTTATATAAATTTATAATTAACTAATACCAACCGGTATTAATTAATCCATTATCCATCGGGCAACCTTTTCGTTGACCGCCATTTCAAGCCTTATACGTATCAACTTAATCATCATAGAATTAAGTTAATAATATTCATTTGTGCTTCTCTTACAATTCAAGCAAATATGCATTTTATATAATTTCTCATATCATATTTCATGCATAAAAATTAATTCCTTTCATACAAACTTAACCATGTTGGCTAATCACATGTTTAAATACCTTTTAAACATAATTATGAACACATATAACATTTATTTAGGTAATCTCATAATTAACCCAAAATTTATAAGATATTAAGCCGTCCACTCACCTTAAATGAGCTTAAGCGCGTTCTACGCTGCTCGGTTGAATTCCGGTGAAACTCCGGCAAAACTCCGACGAACTCCGGCGAAACTCCGGCGAACTCTAGAAATCCTTTAGTCAAGTTCCTTAATTCTTCTCGCTTTTCCCTAACTTTTCCCTTCTCAAACCTCCTTCTTTGGACCCCTTTAGCTTGAGCTCGAGTTGCAGCAATGGAGAAAGGTTGGAGAGCTTTTTCTTCCTCTTTCTTGGGTGGTCTGGCCGAGCACATAGGTTGGAGGGAGAGAGGATGGCTCACTTTTATCTTAATTGACAAAATGAGTGAGGTAGGGGTCACCTATGTACTTTTGATGCCAAAGGAAAAGTCCTCCTCCACATCTTCCTTGTCATGCCAGCCCTCATATGACTTATTGAGTGCACAAAAACGTGGGGTGGCCCCCACTAATGTGGGAGGTCATCCCTTTGTGCACACTTGGCCCCGAAAGTAGTATTTTTCGGACTGTTTTAATCATATTTTATTTTATCGGGTCAAATAAAATATATTAAGTGTTTCCCATCATTATGAACTTTTGTAATGAATATACGTTCCTCATTTTTAATTTAGATGTCTCCGAAATCCGTTTCGGGTTGTTATCTGATAAATTACCGATACCGGTAATTGTGCCTCGTTTGACCGACGGGTCAACCCTATGCCCTTCCATGGCCCAACTAAAACATCTACCACCTTATAAATATTATTTTTACCAAGATGAATAAAATATGTGGCCTCGGGAATGTTGGGTGGTCCCCGTCTCCGATGTGGGTCCCACGTGCAATTTAATATTCACGTGAAAGAATTAATAAAAATTTACAACTTCATAAATTCATTGATCATTCCATAGTTTTTAATACATTATTTACTGAAAGTAAATATAATTTGGGGACGGTGTTACAAGTTTACCCCCCCCCCCCCCCCCTTATTTGGGATTTCGTCCCCGAAATCCACGTGTCTAATCGAAAAGAAATGGGCATTGCTCCCTTATTGAGACCTCGGACTCCCATATTTCTTCTTCGACTCGATCACTTCTCCACAAAAACTTTACCATAGGAATCTCCTTGTTCCTAAGCTTCTTCACCTGTTGACCCACTATCTTCACCGGCTCTACCGCATATTGCAAATCCTCACGAATCTCTACTGGCGGTTTCTCAAGAATATGAGATGGGTCCCGTATGTACTTTTTGAGCATTGATACATGAAACACATCATGTATCTTCTCAAGTTCCGGCGTCAACTTGAGCCTGTAAGCCACGGCTCCAATCCTTTCAAGGATCTCAAACGGACCAATGTATCGGGGGTTAAGCTTACCCCTCGATATGAATCAGATGATGCCTTTCCAAGGAGAAATCCTTAGGAGCACCTCATCACCGACTTCAAACTCCAACGGTCTACGTCGTTTATTGGCATAGCTCTTCTGCCGATATTGGGCAGCCTTAAGTCTATCCCGAATGATCTTCACCTTAGCCTTGGTGATCTCAACAAGTTCTATACCCTCGAGCCTGGCCTCGCCAACCTCGTCCCAACACAAAGGTGTCCTGCATTTCCTCCCGTACAATGCCTCGTATGGAGGCATGCCAATACTTGCCTGGTAACTGTTGTTATTGGCAAACTCCAGCCACTAGAGCCAAATGTTTGTCCCAACTACCTTGGAACTCCAAAGCACATGCCCTGAGCATGTCTTCCGAAATCTGTATCACTCTCTCGGATTGCCCATCCGTCTGTGGATGAAATGTTGTGCTAAACCTCAGCATAGTTCCCAAAGATGCCTGAAATTTTGGCCAAAATCTAGATGTGAAACGTGGATCCCTATCCGACACAATGGATATCGAGACTCCATGCAATCTCACAATCTCCTCAATGTATAACTTGGCCAATCTTTCAAGAGGGTAAGTGATGTTAATAGGCAGGAAATGTGCACTTTTAGTAAGCCTATCAACCACCACCCAAATTGCGTCATAGTTGTTCACCGTCCGTGGTAGCCCCACCATGAAGTCCATAGTCACGTGTTCCCACTTCCATTCTGGAATGGTAAGTGGCTGCAAAAGTCCCGCCGGGTGCTGATGCTCCGCCTTAACTTGCTGACAAGTAAGGCATCGACTCACATACTCCGCGATGTCCCTCTTCATACCTGATGGTCTCGGTACATCTTTGTACCTCCTGGATGCATAGAATAGGCCGAAGAATGAGCCTCCTCAAGTATGGATTTCCAGAGCTCCTCATCCCTTGGTACGCACACACGATCTTTGAACAATAAAAGACCATCGTCACGTACCCGAAAGTCCTCAATGGGCCCCGCAAGGATCCGCTCGCGGATCTTTTGACATTCCTCATCAACGCCCTGACCTCTACTGATCTCACTCAGCAACGTAGGTCTAACCTCAAATCTAGCTATGAGCGCCCCACCCGAGGACACTCCCACTTGTGCCCGCAATGCTCGTAGATATGTGAGTAACGTCCCCGACGTACTCTTCCTGCTCAGCGCATCGGCCACAACATTGGCCTTACCGGGATGATAGTTGATGATCAATTCATAGTCCTTGATCAACTCCATCCATCTCCTTTGCCTCATATTCAACTCTTTCTGAGTGAATACATACTTTAAGCTCTTATGATCAGTGTAGATATGACATGTCTCCCCGTAGAGATAATGCCTCCAAATCTTTAGTGCAAACACTACCACCCCCAACTCCAGGTCATGGGTAGGGTAGTTCACCTCGTGTTTCCTCAATTGCCTAGAAGCATAGGCGATCACCTTTCCCTTTTGCATTAGCACACATCCAAGCCCTTGAATACTAGCATCGCTGTAAATATCATACCCTATCCCCTGTATGGGTAGGGCGAGAACTGTTGCTTCGGTAAGTCTTTTCTTTAGTTCAAGAAATCCTTTCTCACACTTGTCGTACCATATGAACTTGGCTCCCTTCTTTGTGAGTTTTGTTAATGGAGACGCCAATGCGGAGAATTTCTCCACGAACTTACGGTAGTATCCTGCTAAACCAAGGAAACTGCGTATCTCTTTCACATTCTTGGGCCTCTCCCAATCTATAATGGCTTCTATTTTGGCGTTGTCCACACCAACGCCCGAACCGGATATGACGTGCCCGAGAAAGCCAATCTCGTTGAGCCAAAATTCACATTTAGAGAACTTGGCAAAGAGTTGCTTTTCTCTTAACCGATCCAGTACAAGCCCCAAATGATGTTCGTGCTCCTCCTCGCTCTTGGAGTATATCAAGATATCATCAATGAATACTATCACAAATTGATCTAAGTATTCACTAAACACACGGTTCATCAAGTCCATGAATGTTGCCGGTGCGTTGGTTAAACCAAATGACATCACAAGGAACTCGTAATGCCCATATCAAGTGCGAAATGCACTCTTAGGTATGTCACTTTCCTTGATCTTCAACTGATGATACCCCGACCTCAAATCAATCTTAGAGAATATTATTGCCCCTCGAAGTTGATCAAACAAGTCATCAATCCTAGGTAAACGATACATGTTCTTGATGGTGACCTTGTTCAACTGTCGGTAGTCGATACACATTCTTAGTGTACCATCTTTCTTCTTCACGAAGAGTACCGGTGCTCCCCACGGTGAATGACTGGGTCTGATGAACCCGTTGTCCAATAATTCCTGTAGTTGGATCTTCATTTCTTGAAGCTCAGCCGGTGCCATTCGATAAGGATGAATCGAAATGGGTTTGGTTCCTGGCTCCACTTCAATTAAAAATTCGATCTCTCTATCGGGTGGAAGCCCCGGTAAGTCCTTGGGGAAGACATACGGATACTTACACACGATACGTACGCCATTAATGTTGACCTCCTTCCTTGTTTTATCTACCACGTAAGCAAGGTACGTGTGGCAACCCTTCTTCATCATCTTCCGTGCTCTCATCACGGATATGATACAACCATGAGATCTTCCCCGATCTCCCTCGAAACGTAATGCGTTTCCCTCATCATCCTTGAGTTCTAATACTTTGGTGTAGCAATCAACATGAGCATGATGTTTCTCGAGCCAATCCATCCCTAGGATTGCATCGAACTCCAACATACTTAGAGGTACAAGATCACAAGTCAAAGGTCGACCCGTTACTTCAACCTCACATGATGGATAGTAATGATCCTTCTCCACGTCGTCTCCTAACGGTGTGGAGACTAGAAATGTTTGCGTCACAGGCATCAATGGCACGTCGAGACCCTCGGCGAATGCCTCACTCACAAATGAGCGTTGTGCCCCGGTATCGATGAGGATCCTCGCACGCCTACCATTGATCTTTAATGTTCCTACATTTATACACCATGTAAGATACCTTTTCTAATGCTTTTGGATGCATTTAAGAGGCTATTGGGTTCATATAAAGGTTTGGAATCAAATGGGGGTCCAAACGTCGCAAAACGTCACGAAAAACTCTATGTTGGGCAATCTGGGTGCCTCGCACGGCGTGCGTAGGAGGTACGCACGCGTGCGTGGCTCCGCTTTTTTACCCGGGGCTACTGCCCACAACGCACGGAGGGACGCACGGGGAACGCACGGAGTGACGCACGCGTGCGTCACCCCACGCACGGTCGTGCGTCCGGCAACAAATTCCCTGGAGGCCTACTGCCACCCACGCACGGCAGCATGCACGCGTGCGTGTGGGCGTGCGTGGCGTGCAGTAGCCAAATCAACCCCGTTTCGGCCATAACTTTCCCAGTTCATCCCCCGGGTGGGCCGTACCCAAATCCTACGGCCTGCATCATCAAAATAAGTCTAGAACAGTTGAAATTCAGTGTATTACCTGCAACGGAGTCCGGGTTAGCGCGCGCATCCGCTTCGGTCATGGCATAGACCCTCGCTTGGGCCCCGCCTTGGTTGATGGACGCAGCATGGCTCGTTGATGCACCACCTCTCCGTGTGCCGCCGTTTGACGGCCCTGTACGGTTTCTTCTCGTCAAAGCACCTGCTCCGGACCTGGGAGCTCCTCTTCCCCCCAATTGTGGGCAATTGGCCTTCATGTGGCCCGTGTCCCACACTGATAACACCTCGGGGGTGCGTTGCACTTCCCGAAGTGATTCTTCGAACAATTGGCACACCTAGGAGGTCCCGTATTTTGAGAGAAGGATGAGTGCCACCGAGCATCCCTGTTCTTCTTTGCCAGTGGTGCCGGTGTCTTGAACGAACCACTACCTACACCGTGGGTATTCTTTCGTGTTTGATCGGGCAGTCCCGAACTATGCCACTTTCTCTTTTTCGCCTCTTCGGCGTCTCTTTCTTTCC